AGATCCCAGGGCATCAGTGGGTGCCCCCAAGGGAGGACTTTGGGCCAGAGGTTCAGAGCTCTGCTCAGGGCACCAAAAACACACCAGAGCTGGCTTTCCACATTGTGAAACAGGTGTAGCATTTCTGAAGACTACCAGTGAGGAAATTAAGCTTCTTTCTGTAAAGCGAAGGTCATGCAGATTGCTAGACTGTCACACCTGGGTGGAAGCTCATTTGGGCTTTGATTATGGGAGGCAGGTTTGATAAGGTTGGGCAGAAGGTTCTTAAAGAAAAGACTCAGGAAATTTGATGCAAAAGGAGGTGAAAAAGGAGACAAAAGAGATGCAATTCCCAGAGTTCCCGGGGAAGAGGGATTGATAGCAAAACCACTCTGGGAACGGTGGCTCTGTGAGGGGAATGGGGTGTGTGTGTCTCCTCTTAGCACCCTTGGCAAAGTACAGTTCCCATGATTCTTTGGGAGAAGCCAGGGCTGTTTAAAGTGGTATGGACTTTGGGATGAATCCATTGTGACTCTTCTTATGTTCTGACAGCAAGAAGGATCAGTGATCTTTCAAATCCTTTCAGGCTTCTATGAACTGGACCATGGTAAACCAATGTCCCACAAACACAAACTTCAAAACATTGCTAGTCCTACAATAGTGTTAAACAGAAGCCATGGTAACAACATCGCAGCTGATTTGACTATTGCAACCATCCCAGCAAACAGCTGGCCATGAAAGGTATACCAGGTGCTGGGATATACCTTGTGTGCTGCTTCAATGGAAGGGATGATCGGCCAAGGTGATTCCATTCTCCATCTATTCCCTGAAAGTCATCTCAGTGATGCTTCTTCCCATGCCTTGGGACTCAGTGGCTTTGCCTGATACAGGGGGCACCTTCCTCGTGCCAAACATATGATACACCACAGAACCAGCCTGGTCTGTTTTCTTACATGAATTATTATGAAAGTGGGGATGGAATTACAGCAGAAGAAAATTGTCAGGGCAGCTGAGTAAGTCTGTGTCAGCTATTTTTCCTCCCACCCACCCCCCTTTCGCCATCAGCGTCGCTGCAGTGCGTTGCCGATTTCCCATGCTTACCTCGTTAATCTCTTTGTCATGGAAATGAGGCATCAGCAGAAGGACACTTAAGGAGGTGTTCAGCCAGCTGTTTCCATGGCTTAGCTGGTTAATGAGTGCATCTCAGACCTGGAGTCATTATGAGTCTGGAAGAACTACGGCAAGCCTCTCTCTCTCTCTCTCTCTCTCTCTCTCTCTCTCTCTCACACACACACACACACACACACACAGGTGAAGAGACCTTAGAGCAGGAGGAAGGAACCTCTTTCCCCCTTGGAGACCACATTTCATCTTTCAGTTTAACCATTTACAGTGGTACCTCGGGTTACATACGCTTCAGGTTACATACGTTTCAGGTTACAGACTCCGCTAACCCAGAAAGAGTACCTCGACTTAATTACTTTGCTTCAGGATGAGAACAGAAATCGTGCTCCAGCAGCGTGGCAGCAGCAGGAGGCCCCATTAGCTAAAGTGGTGCTTCAGGTTAAGAACAGTTTCAGGTTAAAAACGGACCTCCAGAATGAATTAAGTACTTAACCCGAGGTACCACTGTACAGTAGGCTACTTTTACACATACTTGCATATTGCTCTATATTCTCCATGAAAGTGAACATGAACTCAGGATGAAAGGGAGAAATGCTCTAAGAGGAAGGGACGTTTGGCAAATCCTCACCATGATCAACTCCCTCCCAGAAACATATGTCCCCACTGTGGAAGGACGTGCGGATCCAGAACTGGCCTCCACAGTCCACTTAAGGATATACTGTCAAGACCATATTAATGGAAGACAATCTTACTCAGCTACGAGTGATCACCAAAGAAGAACAGCAGGAATGATCAGAATCCAAGGACACATTCCAGCCAGGCAAAAACCACTCAAACAGGGTTCAAAGCAGAGCTGCTGAGATGTGTGGTTCTTACCTCTAGACCACTGAGACAGCTGCAGGATGCAGCCAATGTGGAGAGAGGAAAGCACTAAAATTGAGTTGCATGACCTATGAGAAAGCCATGGGAAAAAGTTATAGGCTGACTTAATTCCTGTTGCATTTAATGGGACAGTCACAACTATCTATACGTGGCTTTGTGCCAGCATGTCCAGCAAGCATTCATGGGAATATTATTATTATTATTATTATTATTATTATTATTATTATTATATCTCATGGCTATTCACAACATATAATTGCAATATAAAAAAACACAAAATACAACATATAGAGTATGATGTGGTTGCGTCTTTCTGTGAAGGCCATCTGCTGAAGAAGAAGAAGAAGAAGAAGAAGAAGAAGAAGAAGAAGAAGAAGAAGAAGAAGAGTTTGGATTTGATATCCCACTTTATCACTACCCAAAGGAGCCTCAAAGCGGCTAACATTCTCCTTTCCCTTCCTCCCCCACAATAAACACTCTGTTAGGTGAGTGAGGCTGAGAGACTTCAAAGAAGTGTGACTAGCCCAGTCACCCAGCAGCTGCATGTGGAGGAGCGGAGAAGCGAACCCGGTTCACCAGATTACAAATCTACCGCTCTTAACCACTACACCACACCTGCTCTGAAGGAGCAGGCCATTTCTGGGGCTTCTGTACCACCAGCTTGAGCGCTGGGCCTGGCTCCTGATGGTGGTGGCCAAGCGCCAACAGAGACCTAGGACTTGTCCAAACTTCCTCTTGTCCTGTGCCTAAAAAGCACTGGGCCAAGGGGTTTTTGGCTTGCCCCATGCTTTTTAGGAATGGAGAAGTTTTTTGTTAGTCCTGCTACTTTCCCTTGGAATATCTGCTGTTTATCACTGCATTTGAACAATCTGCATACTGATGTCAGATTCAGTGGGTTTTGCTGGGAGGAAGAGGCGGGACAAGTGGAAGCGTGGATGAGCTCCAAGACAGAGGTCCTTCATAGTTGGTGTCCCCTCAGCCCAACTTGCCAGAGGAATAGCATTCCTCCTGCCCTACCGCCCAATGATACAGGAAGTGTATCAGGCGCAGGGGGTGCCACAGAAAGGCAACAGAATACTTGCCTTCATGTCAAGGGACTCACCCTCTGAAAACCACAGGGCATGGAAGTTGGGATGGACGAGCAGGAGGAAGAGACTCACAAGGCCTTAGTTCAGTTCCAGCCTTTGTCAGAATAAGCTGGTCACATGGAGCTCTCCATGGTGCTGCATAAGAGGGAGCTCTCACAATGGGCAATCAGATGCCCGATGCAAATCCCAAAAGCAGGACCTGAGTTCAACAGTACTCCCAGCATCTAGCATTCAGAGGCATACTGCTTCTGACAGTGGAGAGATAACCTACCCATAGGGTCTAGTAGCCAGATAGCCATATCTACTGTGAACTTATCTTGTTGTTGTTGGTCGTTTAGTCGTGTCCGACTCTTCGTGACCCCATGGACCAGAGCACGCCAGGCACTCCTGTCTTCCACTGCCTCCCGCAGTTTGGTCAGGCTCATGTTTGTAGTTTCGAGAACACTGTCCAACCATCTCGTCCTCTGTCGTCCTCTTCTCCTTGTGCCCTCAATCTTTCCCAACATCAGGGTCTTTTCCAGGGAGTCATGAGGTGGCCAAAGTATTGGAGCCTCAGCTTCAGGATCTGTCCTTCCAGTGAGCACTCAGGGCTGATTTCCTTAAGAATGGATACGTTTGATCTTCTTGCAGTCCATGGGACTCTCAAGAGTCTCCTCCAGCACCATAATTCAAAAGCATCAATGCTTCGGCAATGAACTTATCTAGTCCTCTTTTAAAGTCATCCCAGTTGGAAGCTATCACTGCTCCTTGCAACAAGTGCAGCCAGCCACCTTGTTGCTTGCTCGATCTGTGGTGCCTGATACATTTATGTTAGACAACCACCATAGTTTGCAATACAGTGGTACCTCGGGTTACACATGCTTCAGGTTACAGACTCCACTAACCCAGAAATAGTACCTTGGGTTAAGAACTTTGCTTCAGCATGAGAACAGAAATTGTGCAGCGGTGGCACAGCGGCAGCGGGCAGCCCCATTAGCTAAAGTGGTACCTCCGGTTAAGAAAAGTTTCAGGTTAAGAATGGTCCTCCGGAACAAATTAAGTTCTTAACCCGAGGTACCACTGTAGATGGTGAAAAAGAATCCCCCCTTCTGGTTTGTGGGTTATGCAGGGTGATAGTCTGTCCAGTTTGGACTGTTATTCACCCTGACTATCCCTGTTAAATTAGGATGAATCTCTGGGTTGAGTTGAAGAAATAATTCATTGTGCATCTGTCTCATGTTTGCTTGCTCTGCATCCTCATTGATTTCTATCCAAAGTGTTTTCAGATTCTACGTTGAGGAAACTTGTATGTTTTCACTAAAAGCACTTTGCTGTGAAGGCCTTTGGGGCAATGGAGGAAAGCAGTAGAAATCCCGCAGATAGCTAAGGACAGTAAATCCCACAGATGGGTGAGGTGAGCACAGCAGGAAGTCGTTCTGGCAGTACACACTGTACGAGGGGCACTGGGACCACACATCTGAGGTGGCATTTCTGTAGCGAATGGAGAAGTTAGTGAGGCAACTGCTTTGATATGAGCATGAAATGGACACAAGAAGCTCACAGTCCAAGATTTGGTGAGTTATTTTGGATCAATATGTGAATTTCAGCCTTCCTTAATCCCGTGACTCCTAGATTTGTGCTCCTTTCTGCTCAATGCTGGCCCATGGCATTTGGCTTCCCTGCTGCTCCACCACTGAGGTCAACAGTTTAAGAAACCTTGCAGTGCCATTTGAACAGTGATTCCCATTTTCATCTCACCACCAACAGCTCCATGCTGCTGCCTGAAGCAGATTGTTTCACTCTGCTACTCTCCATTATTCATTAAGTGTCTCAATTTCCTTTTACACACTGATTCAAGGGGTGCTGACTTTTAGTAAGTCAGACCATTGGTCTATCTCATTCAGCTCTCCAGGGTTTCATTCGTGGGTATTTTCTCCCATCCCTTCTCAAAGATGCAAGGAATTGAACTTGGACTTTCTGAAGAGAAAGCAGATGCTCTACCACTGAACTATGGACATTTTCTTTCATGGGCTGGTTCCTGTTCCAGTCTTCTTCTCCCCTGCTTCTCTTCCCTTCTGGCCTTTTCTCAAGCCTCTGTTGCAAGTGCAAGAGGAAGTTTTCTGTCCTTATTTTAGTTTAGACATGTAGTTGGCCCCGTCCTGAAAGCTCAAGTTGAGAAGCAATCAACTCCACCCATCTCACTCTCATTAAATCAAAACAGAAAACATTAAGCCCTATGTCTTAAACAACTTTCCAAAGTGTTTTGTTTTAAAATCTGTCTCTCTTGCGGCCTAAAAGAAAGGTCATAAAATGAGTTCGGAAAGTTGATCGGGCTTGGACAGGGACTTTCCAGAGGTGAAGCCCTTATGCTGGATAACTTTCCAGAGCAGTAGCAGATGTCATTGTTTTGTTGTGCTACGCACCTGACCTCCCTCCATCTGCATTGCTGATGCCTACTGGGACAGAGAGGGAGGAAGGCAGTGGTGAACTCATGTGGTGCAAAAATGCTGGTGGGAATGTCAGACTGCAGTTTTGTAATTGGGGGTATTGTTATTATTTTGCTCATTTTGGTTGATGCACACAGCCCGTGTTCCACCAAATTCATGGAAGAGAGGGCTTTTGGAGGCTACTAGCCATGATGGTTATGCTCTGCCATCCTATTCCGAACTTAAAAATGGAAAGCATAATGCTGGTGGTCAACAAAAGAGGTTTAAAGACTCTCAAGGCAAATCTAAAAAAAAATGTAGTATAAACATTGACAACTGGGAAACACTGGTCTGTGTGCGTTCCAATTGGTGCACAGCCTTTACCGAATGTGTCATGGACTTTGAAGATGCTCAAACTCAGGACAAAAGGGAGAAACGTGCTAAGAGGAAGGCACGCTTGGCAAACCCTCACCGGGTTCAGCTCCAGCCTAGAAACCTATATCCCTACTGTGGAAGGATGTGTGGATCCAGAATTGGCCTCTACAGTCACTTATGGACTCACTGTTAAAACCATGTTTATGGAAGACAATCTTACTCGGCTACAAGTGATAGCCAAAGGAGAAGGAGAAGGAGAAGGAGAAGGAGAAGGAGAAGGAGAAGGAGAAGGAGAAGGAGAAGAAGCTCTGCCTTCACACTTGAAAGCAGCAATGCTTTTGAATACCAGTTTCTGGAAGCCAAAGGAGGAGAAAGTGACCTGTACTTGATTCCTGCTTGCTAGTTTTCTACAGGCATCTGGTCAGCCACTCTGAGTATAGGATGCTGGGTTAGATAGGCCATCGGCCTGATCTAGCAGGCTCTTCTTACACTCTTTACTTAGCTGATGGCTCTTCCATGTTGCCTGTTGCCATTGTAGATTAAGCAGAGAGAAAAGAATGGGAGCCAGTACAGCATGCACTTAAACTGGAATCCATTGCAATCCATCAGATGGGAGGAACATTTGGGTTTATTTTAAAGGAATGACTAAAATTGCAGTGCTTACTTGTTTATATGTTGCTTTCATTTATATGCCAAGGAGCTGTAGAGCAGTCATACCAATATATTTGATCCCTAAAATTCCTCCAGAGCCTTCTAATTGGGACCCATTCAAATGTCATTCCCTGGGACAGCCAGAGCCAAACTCTGCCTGGGGTTACAAGATGTTTTCATGCTCTCCAGTTTCTTTGCCTCTCCTCCTTTCTCATTTTTTCTTTGCGCAGCGTGTTGTGTCTGAAGCAGCAGCCCGGCGTTCATTTAAGAGGAAATGACCCCTCGTGTTCCCTCTTATTTTGACATCTGATCTGAACTGAGCAGCAGAAGGGAAGAACGAAAACCCGCCAGCGTCTGTGCATGTGTGCAGGATGTTGAGACATTCATTAATAAAACATCAGCCAGGTGTAGGACGGTGCAGTAAAACACTATTATTTCCTCCCTTTGAACTGACTTAGGAAACGGCTGCCGATAATGGTTTTGCATTTGAAAAGGAGCCGCTTGTAAGCAGCTTGCTATTGCTGGAGGAAAGAAGGAGAAGAAAAAGAATGGGGGTGGGGGGTGGGGGGGAGAGACACCAGCATTCGTTGGTAGCAACATGTTGAATCCAAAACAGACACTCTCTGTGTTGCTGCAATACACAAAGATTCTTTCTTTCAGAAATAGTGTATTAAAACTCTACAAGAGAAGGAGAAAGAAAATAACCTTTAAAAAAGGAACTGCCTCATGAATGTTAACTTGCTTACTAGGAAGGAGCAACAGAGAATCTCTCTCTCTCTCTCTCTCTCTCTCTCTCTCTCTCTCTCTGTCTCTCTCTCTTTTAGGGCAGTCCTACCAGTAGACAAAATGAGGCAATTGCCTCAGGTGGCAGATGCAGTAGCAGCCATTTGTCATGAATAGAGACACCCTGCCGATTTTGATTTCTTCCGGTTCCTCTATTTTCAATGCTAAAATTTAGTTCTCCATGTTTCTACATCAGTTGACTTTTTAAATTTTTTTTATTCCAAAGTACTCATGAGTATTCAGCAGCATTTTAGTGTGAAGATAACCTAATATATGCTTTGGGTGCTGTTTCGCCTGATGTGCACATTTGTGTTTTTTTGCAAAGCAGTTTCCTTATAATGCATTATTAAATACCAATTCCACCAATAAATGCATTTTGATGCACACTTTTCACTAGCATGTGCATTTTTGGTGGGATAAGGTAGCTGTGTTCCAGTTTGCATATTGTTGCAGCAAGGGTTAATTGGGTAGGTTCATCTATAAATGCAATATGAATCACATTTATTCTGCATCCCTTTTTATGAGATCCTTAGACAGTCCCCTCTGTTAGACACCAAAGCTAAGTGTGGCATAGCCCTGTCAGGCACCCCTTAACTTGCTTGTTGTTGCCCTTGGGTGTGTTTGATGATACTAGCCCATTGACAGTGTTGACATCCAGCCTGCTTAGAACCAGCATAGGCAGATCAAACACAGGCACTTACATGTTCAAATGTTCTGAAAAATCATAGTGGTACACATATCAGCACTCTTCAGGCATTTGTTTCCCCAATGTGATTAGTGCTGCAGAGAGAGTGAGAGAGAGTAGAGATTATTGTGGGAAGAGAGAAAGAGCAGGGTTCCTTTGTGTGCGGAGCCAATAAATCAATGATTAGGAAGCTTTTTTTTTAGCCAAGGTGATACAATATATCCTTCTAGAGACCACATAGGGATGTGGGTGGCGCTGTGGTCTAAACCACTGAGCCTCTTCGGCTTGCCGATCAGAAGGTCGGCGGTTCAAATCCCCGCAATTGGGTGAGCTCCCGTTGCTCTGTCCCAGCTCCTGCCAACCTAGCAGTTTGAAAGCACACCAGTGAAAGTAAATAAATAGATACTGCTGTGGCAGGAAAGTAAACAGTGTTTCCATGTGTTCTGGTTTCCTTCATGGTATTCCGTTGTGCCAGAAGCGGTTTAGTCATGCTGGCCACATGACCCGGAAAGTTGTCTGTGGACAAACGCCGGCTCCCTCGGCCTGAAAGCAAGATGGGCGCTGCAACCCCATAGTCGCCTTTGACTGGACTTAACAGTCCAGGGGTCCTTTACCTTTTACCTATAGAGGCAACTTGCCAGTGATGGGCAGGATCAGAGGGAAGTGGGTGAAGCAACAAATGCAAAGATTTAAACGAACGAAGAAATAAAATAATAGCAGATCTTGAAACCTTGAGGTTTGCATTTAGACTTAGGTCCCGTCTGCACTATGCATTTAAAACACTATCATGCTACTTTAGAAAGTCATGGCTCCACCCAAAGAATCCTGGGAACTGTAATTTTTTGTTGCTGTGGAAAAATACTATGCTATGGAATTGTTGCTATGGAAAGTTGCAAATTACAGCGGGGAAGAGGTGGGAGAACTCACACACCAATAACTGCAACTTTTCCAAATGTGGTTTAACTTCTTTCTGATTTTACGTCCATGCTGTGTTTTTCTTGTTGTTGTTTTAATGCAGAGGTAGTTATGGTCCATTAAATAAATATATAAATCTCCCCAAGAAATACTTTGTTAAGGAGAGGGATAAGAATGCTATAAATATAAATGTTTGTGGGTTCCACTTTCTTCTTACGACGAGTCTTGCGAAGAAGGGTTCAAGCCTGACTCTTGTAAACATCCCCCCCAAAAAACCCCCACCTCCACTAGTGTTTCATCTTCAGGAAATCTTTGCATTTCTATAGAGGAAATTCACAGCTGCATTCAAATGTTCTTCCATCAGCAGTTTTGGAGGGGAGGTTCCAAAGATCCCCTAGGGCCAATGGAAATTTCTCTGTACAGTGGTACCTCAGGTTACATACTCTTCAGGTTACATATGCTTCAGGTTACAGACTCCGCTAACCCAGAAATATTGCTTCAGGTTAAGAACTTTGCTTCAGGATGAGAACAGAAATTGTGCTCCAGCGGCGCGGCAGCAGCAGGAGGTCCCATTAACTAAAGTGGTGCTTCAGGTTAAGAACAGTTTCAGGTTAAGTATGGACCTCCGGAATGAATTAAATACTTAACCCGAGGTACCACTGTGAATTTGGAGAGGTTCAGTGCTTTGTTCTGGGGGTACACAGGGGTACGCATACCCCTAAACATTTTGTGAATCTAACAGGAGAAGAAACTAATTATTATTATTATTATTTTAAAAAGGTTAGTTTCTTCTCTAGTCAGTTCTGTTGCTATCCCTGATGACGGCTTCTTTTCCTGGTGTTTCCTGAGTCTCAGAAGTTACTGTGTGCTGTGTAACATAAGGTAATACATGTTTTTTTGCACTTTTGTCCATTTACTGTATTTATTTCCCCTGATTTGAACTATAAAATGGTGATTTTATTGGGTCAAAATGAGAGTGCCCCTAAACATTTTTTTTATAGAAAAAAGCATTGGAGAGGTGTAATTGAGAACTCATGTTCTAATGTGTACACGTGTGTGTATTTATACCCATGTATTTCTTTATCTAACAACCCTTATTATGGAAATTCCTAGGACAATTAGGGCATTTTATTCCCCCACCCATGGTCCTTTCAGATCAGAATTGTGCTGGTGCATATAAAACTCTC